AGAAGGCAAATGTATAAAATAAAAGAGAGGCATCGAATTAAGCATCATAAAGCCACTCTCTCTAGTGGCCTCTGCAAATGACAACCCAAATAGGGTCAAGTTACCAGCAAGGCTCAGATTTGTTTCTTTAAACAAAAAATTCCAAAACACACACTCACATTGAATTCCGCTCCCTCTCTCTCTCTCTCTCTCTCTCTCTCCCACACACATACACACATTTCTAATAAAAAATTAAAAAACTATTTTAATCTTTTTCATTTTATTTTAATAATATATATAATTTTTAATATAAAATTTTAATTTTTATAAAAAAAATAGCGCTAAAAATAAACCTTTAAAATGTGACTAATACTAAATATATTTAATAAAAATTTAAAATAAATAAAAAGTAATTACTATGTTTAATTACGTTTTCAAATTATTAATTTTTAAATATAAAAATTAATTTGATGAAAATAAACACACAAAAATCATATTTTTTGAAATTCTCAAAAATAATATTCATTATAAAAAAAATCATATAAAAATAATGACTTTTAATTTAATTTTATTAACCAAACGAATTTATAACTTTTTTTTAAAGAAAATAAAAACAGATTTGGTTTGCACCTATGCACAGATTGGATTTGTGTGTGTTTTTTTATTTCCTTTAAAAAATTTATAAATTCATTTGGTTAATAAAACTAAATTAAAAGTCATTTTTATATGAATTTTTTTTTTTTTGTAATGAAAATTGTTTTTGAGAATTTCAAAAATATATAATTTTTGTGTGTTTATTTTCATTAAAATAATTTTTATATTTAAAAATAATAATATGAATACATAACTAAATGTAGTAATTAATTTTTATTTATTTTAATTTTTTATTAAATATATTTAATCTAAGTCTCATTTTAAAGGTATATTTTCAATGATATTTTAATTTTATAAAATTAAATTTTTATGTTAAAAATTATATGTATTATGAAAATAAAACGAAAAAGATTAAAATAGTTTTTTAAATTTTTTATTAGGGGAGAGAGAGAGAGAGAGAGAGAGAGAGAGAGAGAGAGAGAGCATGTGAGGGTAAATCACACTTTACACCAGTACACTTTACACAAAATTCTACTTTAGTCCCTACACATCAAAATTGTAATACTTAACCCTCTAAAGGGTAACTTCTGTTAGCCTCACTATTAATAGAAGGGCTAATGTGACACTTGACCAAAATTATAGGGGGTTAAGTGTCACAATTTGATATGTAGGGACTAAAGTAGAATTTTGTGTAAAGTGTAGGGATGCAAAGTGTAATTTACCCAATAATTCATAAACAATAATTGCGACATGATTTGGGTACCATTTTTTCACATTGGGCTATCGTGTTCTATTATTTTTTAATGTCACCAACCTTAGGTTAAGTCTGGGAACCACCTAAAATAGTTAAAAAATTAAAAAATCACTATTAAAAAATCATCTCTTCTCTCTACTTTTTCTGTGTCTTTTCATAAAAAATTAAAAAGTCATTCTCTTTATACCATTTGATATTCGTTTAGAATAATTCTATGGATACTAAAACTTCTACTAAAAATTTTACTAAAAGTGTTAGAAGTTAAATTTGATTACTTGTCAAAAAGGTAATGATACTTCAACATCCAATAGTATTTAAAAACATGTTTTTATTAAGAATTTTAGTACATGTATTGCTTATTTTGTTAATATATTTCTCTTTTTCCAAGGATCTATATTTCCCTTTTTCCAATGATCTACTCTAATCTTCCCATATATTCCTCCATATATATGGTAATTGTGTTTTTGTCATGATCAATATGCCGGCATTATATTTTTATATGTATATTTTCATATGGAGTTTTAGGTTCTGAAAAAAATAAAATTTTACATAATTTAAGTGAACTTTAATTTGGCATTTCAAAATGACTGCCATATAATATTTCCAATGCAATATGAAAGGAATGTTGAACATATTTCCAATTTACAATTAAAAAAAAAAGTACTCCAATAATCTATTATTATGATACTTTTTAATTTAATTTTATTGTATTTTGTATCATTTCACCTAAATATTTTCTTTCATTTAATGTTGAAAAACCTCTGTCGTTGCAAATTTACTTCAAAACTCAATCATAACTCATACTCAATTTACTCTAAGATTTCGTTCAATATATGTAAATTTGTATTTATTGAATAAAAGATAAACATATTTTCAAGAGATTTGATATCTAATTTATGGTCATTTATGAGAGATTTATTTATATTGAATTTTATTTCCTATTTGGCTGTTAATTATGAATCTAGAAGTCTACTTAAGAAAATATTTATATAAATTCTTCTAAAGGAGTTTTTTTTTTTTTTTTTTTTCTTAAAGGCTTATATTTATTTATTAGTGAAGAATTTTTATTTTCATGAGTTTGAAAGAATGAATAAAAGACGCCAATGATTCCCATATTTAGGCTACTTATTAGTGAAGACATTTTATTTTTATTGATTTTGATTGGCTTATGTTTATTTGTGAGTATAGATTTTACTTGAATGGAGAATTATATGAGATTTGACTCCTTCGATTACAATGACTTTTGAATCAAGATCTTTATTTAAGTAATCATGGATTATAATCTAACCATAACAAAAATTATCAAAGAGTCTTAAATGTAAAAGATCAAATCAATTCTTTATATTAAGACATGCATAAAATGGATGAACAAACCAAATCGCATAAAAAATTGTGACATTATCAAATGCAATCTAAATTCATTTTTTGAGAAATCATATATACAAATTCTGAAATTGTACAAATAAACTCGTTAGTCACTAGGGACATTGGCGAATAAGTCAAATAAAGTCCACCATTTTCATAAACCAAGCATCATATAGAGAACAATAATCAAATTAATAATATCGTAAAGTATTATGAAGATGCATATATAACCCATACATACTTCAAAATTATTTTACAGCCTTCGGTGATGGAGATACCAAATTGATAGAATCCAAGTTGATTGCATAAAAGAACTGATTCTAGGCTACTTATAAATAGAATTCATCAATCTAAGGCATTTTATTTGAAAGGCCAGTTAAAAAACTCAGAAACATCTAATCTAAAAACATAAAATTAAAATTAAATTATATAATTAAACTGCATGGACATGTTTCACTATGTGTACGTATATATAATCTAGACATACATATCACACTTAAATTGCAAAAGCAAATTGTCAAACACACAACATTGATTTAAAAACACTATAAGAAATTACACTTTCCGCGACTAACGTTTTGGTCGCAAAAAGTATCATATTTGGTCGCTAAAATCTTTTCGCGACCAAAATGGGTTGATCGCGAGTTGGTCACTAAAGCCTCGTCACAGATAGTTTTCTGCGACCAAAGTTATAGTTGGTCACTAAAAGGGACCATTGGCGACCAAATAATTGGTCGCGGAAAGTCCAATCCATATTAGCCAACAAGTAACTTTTAGTGACCAAAGTTATAGTTGGTCGTCAAAAGTCAACGCCTTCACCCAAAGAAAAATATTCTTTTGCGCTGCCTAAGAGTTGAACTCCCAACCAAGGAATCACTCTCCATGCGCCAAATCCACTCTGCCAATAACATACTTGTTCACATTTGGCAGAGAAAATATATAATCCATAAAAATTGGATTATATATTATTTCATGAAACCTTCAATGCCTAAACAGAAAAGTAGAATGTAATTACAATAGTACCCGTTTTTTTTTAAATTTATCCCACTATAACTTTCCGCGACCAACTTATTTTTTGGTCGCCAAAAGGTGATCTTCCGCAACCAAATTTGTAGTTGGTCACCAATAGTTAAGTCATTCGCGACCAACTTATTTTTTGGTCACCAAAAGGTGATCTTTCGCGATCAAATTTGTAGTCGGTCGCCAATAGTTAAGTCATTCGCGACCAACTTATTTTTTGGTCGCCGAAAGACAACCTTTTGCGACCAAATTTGTATTTGGTCGCCAAAAATTAGCTATTAGCCACCAAAAAATTGTGGGTCGCGAAAACATACCCACCAGGGACCAAAAAAATTTTAGTCACAGAAAGTGAACTATTTGCGACCAACTCAAGCTAGGTGGTCGCCAAAAGTATTTTTTCTTGTAATGAAAGCACCTATGAATCCTTAAATTATAAAATCTACGTGCTACCAAACTCATCGTATCGCAACAAATGTGAATCCGTTGATATTATTCCCTCCAGTCAATGTCACCATGCTCGACCTCGCTTCATGCAACTGGTTTTCAACAAATATGAATCGATGGTTCTCTAATCAATCTTCCATCAAATCATTCTTTGCATACTTCATAGCTTAATGGTGAACTGAGAATTTTTTTTTTTTAATTTTTTTGGTGATGGTAGCATGGTTTGTGCTACATAATTTCTAATGAAGATATTGAAATATATTGTAACTGTAGACTATTATATAGAGAAAAAAAATAGTGTGTGGCTTGATATGGAAAGAGATACCATAAATGAAGAGATTTTTATATTTTAAATTTTTTTAAAAAGAGTTGATTGGTTAATTATGTTTCCTTTTCATGCATAATTGAATATTTTTTTTCAAAAATTTTTGGATTTTTTTGTAGATAGTTTAGCCAATAGTTGTTTTTTAAATTATTTTAAAAATTAAAAAAATAGAAAATTTGGAATTAGATTTTAAAACTCCCACAAAGTTTCTCATTAAAAAACCCCTTTTACTTATATAATATATTGGTAGATAGCTATTAGAATGATATGTATATATATATATATATATATTACATATAATAAATATGTAACCTAGTATGTTAGGTGTCAACTTTTAATAGGTTAAGACTCACAATCATATAAAGACTAACTCCTTTACCAAATTATTGTGCAGGAATTTGGAGGTGTAAAATATATGTCTCAAGCATCTTTATAACTCTTTATAACTCTACAAAACAAATTGAATATACATGAATGGGACACAAAACAGAACATAATGAATCTATAAATGATTTCTCCAGCCATTGGATTACCTACAACTATAGCATAAGCCAAAATGACAAGCTTTGGACGCACCACTTCTCTCCTCTTCTTCTTCTTCTTCTTCTTTTTCCTCCAGTTGGTGTTCTCTGAATTGTCTCCAAACCAGACAACAACCATGAACCAGCTCTATGGTCTTCTCCCCAACAGCACAGCCCAGTTTTCTCCTCCTTCCCCATGGAATGTCACCAAAGACCCAAATCCATGTTCATGGAAGGGCGTTACATGCACTTCCAACAATTCTTCCATCACCAATCTCTCTCTCCCTTTTTTCTCTATCTCGTCCTCCGATTTTCTTGTTCTTCTTTGCCAGATTGATACCTTGGAGGCTGCTGATCTCTCCAACAATCACTTGAGCTCAATCCCAGATGGGTTCATGACTGGTTGTGGAAAGATTACTGGGTTGAAACTGGTGAATATCAGTAGGAACAAATTGTCTGGCCCTTTACCCACTTTTAATGGTTTTGCTAAGTTGGAGTCCTTGGACTTGTCTCACAATTCATTGGGTGGAAGCATTGATTTACAGCTTCATGGGTTGGTTGGTCTCAAAAGTCTGAACCTTGGCTTCAACCAGTTCATCGGCTCTGTTCCTATGAACCTTGGAAAATCCATGGTTTTGGAGGAGCTTGGGCTTTCTGCCAATCGCTTTGAAGGTAAATTCCCCGAATCAATTGCGAATTATTCGAAATTGACTGCAATTGATATTAGTTTCAATTACATTTCTGGGTCAATCCCTGACAGATTTAGAGAGCTTCTCAATCTGCAACTTTTGATTCTATCTTCCAATCAATTGAGTGGTGGAATCCCACCATTCCTTTCAACTATCCAAAACCTATCTCGGTTTGCGGCCAATCAGAATTTTTTTTCTGGTGTCATTCCACTTGGGATTACAAAATATCTCAAGAATTTAGACCTTAGTTATAATAACTTAAATGGGCCAATTCCTGGAGACCTTTTATCCCAATCAAATTTGCAGAGTGTGGATTTATCTAATAATTCATTAAGTGGGTCAATACCTGCAAATATGTCTCCAAACTTGGTGAGGCTGAGATTAGGAAACAATCAATTGAATGGGACAATCCCATCTTCATCTTTTGGAAGCCTTCAAACAACACTGACCTATTTGGAGTTGGATAACAATCGTTTGAGTGGACCAATACCTCCAGAATTGAGTTTGTGCAAGAATTTAGCACTGCTGAATCTTGCTAACAACAACCTCACTGGTGGTTTGCCGGTACAGTTGGGTGTTCTGAGCAAACTTCAGGAATTGAAGCTTCAATTCAACAATTTGTTTGGAGAAATCCCAATTCAAATTACCCAATTACAAACATTGCAGAAACTGAATATCAGCTGGAATTCGCTGAACGGTTCAATACCATCATCAATTTCAAGCTTGCAAGCTCTTACCAACTTGGATTTACGAGGCAACAATCTCAGCGGTTCAATACCTGTTTCGATTGGAAACTTGAATTCCCTTATAGAACTCCAACTAGGGAACAACCAACTCAATGGGACAATTCTGTTGATGCCACAGAATTTGCAGATTGCTCTAAATTTAAGCAGCAATCTCTTTGAAGGGCCTATACCTGGAACAATATCAAAATTGATTGGATTGGAAGTGTTGGATCTTTCCAACAACAAATTTTCTGGTCAGATTCCAGATTTTCTGGTTAAAATGGCAAGCTTGACACAATTGGCGCTTTCCAACAATCTGCTCTCTGGTGTGATTCCCAAGTTCCCTTCATTCGTTACACTTGATGTAAGTGGAAACAAGGGTCTCATTAACGCTACCAATTCAAACTCTCCCTCATTATCTCCGAAAAAAAGGACAGTTGCCGTGGGAATTGTTGTTGCGGTTGCTGTTGCTAGCGTCTTGGCTTTTGTGGCCACGTTTATGGTTTTTGAGCGATTCTTAAAACAATTTTGTAGCGTCAAAGGTCATTGGATAACTGATAATAGCTTCTATAAATCAAAGCTTGACTTCACCAAAGCCATGGAGGCAGTGTCCAAACCTGTCAACATGATGCTGAAGAATGAGCTCTGCACCTACTACAGGGCTTTGATGCCTTGTGGGATGAGCTATTGCATCAAAAAGATAAATTGGAGTTGTAAGGCATTCCAATTGCTGAGCCCCGACAGGTTTGTTCAAGAGTTAACGGTTTTAGGTAAGCTAAGCAATTCAAATATCATGATCCCTCTAGCTTATACTTTAACCAGTCGTAGCGCATATATTGTATATGAAAATCCTCAACATGGAACTCTCTTTGACCTTCTTCACACAAGTTGTGATAATGTTCTGAAATGGGAAGAGCAGCGTTACAGTATAGCTGTCGGAGTTGCTAGAGGTCTGGCTTTCCTACATGGGTGCTCCACATCGACTGGACCCATAATTCTCCTCCATCTTTCAACGAAAAGTATCCTAATGGAATCACTTTCGAAGCCTCTGATTGGAGATTTTGATCTTGGTAAAGTGATCAAGCCTTCGATAACCATGGGGACAATCTCTGCTGTAGCTGGTTCAATTGGGTACATCCCTCCAGGTAATCTGCTCTTTTTTAACTGTCTTTAGTTCAATATGCAGTGAATATTGTTGTTATTGATGAAATTTTGAACTTATTGTGTTGGAAGCCTTTTTGTTACTTGCAGAATATGCATACACAATGAGGGTGACCCCATCTGGGAATGTTTACAGTTTTGGAATCGTGATGCTGGAATTATTAACTGGCAGGCCTGCTATAAGTGAAGGAACTAATTTAGCTGAATTGGCACTGACTCGGACTCAGTCAATCCATCACAACAAGTGGGAAGAAATTCTTGATTGTAGACTATTAAGTGATGCATCAAGTGGTGCTCGTGATCAAATGCTTTCGCTTCTTAGAATTGCTTTGGGTTGTATTGCCGTCTCACCGGATAAAAGGCCAAATGCAGAAAGCTTGCTTGATATGCTACTTAATGTGGCAACAATTTAGTCTGTAATTAAGGCAATTTAGTAGTATGAAGAACAGAGTTCACCACCATACCCTGTAATCGATTATTCTGGCACTGACTCGGACTCAGTCAATCCATCACGACAAGTGGGAAGAAATTCTTGATTATAGACTATTAAGTGATGCATCAAGTGGTGTTTGTGATCAAATGCTTTCGCTTCTTAGAATTGCTTTGGGTTGTATTGCCATCTCACCGGATAAAAGGCCAAATGCAGAAAGCTTGCTTGATATGCTACTTAATGTGGCAACAATTTAGTCTGCAATTAAGGCAATTTAGTAGTATGAAGAACAGAGTTCACCACCATACCCTGTAATCGATTATTCAGTAATAATAATAATAATAATAATGGTTTATTTGGTTTATACATGCTATTCTGTGGCAACATTAGCTAGAAATTCAGCATGGCCTTACTTCAATTTTGGCTTAAGAATTGTTTGGAAATGAGAACATACATTACAATGAACAAAGTTTTGATTGTATAATAAGCTAATAGCATGACTTATACACCTCAGTAGGGCATAGAAACAGAGGAGAGAGAAATAGGCTGGTTTTAAAGAGAGAAGACTGATGGGGTGAGATGATTAAGACTTCATTTACTATTCCCAAAGACTTGGCATAGAAACAGAGGAGAGAGAAATAGGCTGGTTTTACAGAGAGAAGACTGGGTCGGGAGTGTTCTATGGGGTGAGATGATTAAGACTTCATTTACTATTGCCAGAGACTTGACTTACCAATGTTTTATTTTCTTGGTTTTCTTTTTATAAAAAAACTAACTAATGTTTTATTAATCTAAGTGATTCATGATTTGATCAAGATTTAATTATTCTAATTCTCAATCAATTAAAATTCACAATCTAAATCATCAAGCACTTACGAAAGTGATTTAGATTATTCTTTTCGAAAAACAATAAATCGACACAAATGATTTTTACGTAGAAAAATCACAATTGAAGCACCTTCAATTGTGATAAAAAAAATTACAGGCGAAACACCACAAATCAATCCATTACTAAAAAAAGAAAGATTACAAAGATAACAAACAAATTACCCAAACGCTTCCAATTTGTCTTCAAATCTTCTGCATATCTTTCACTGCAACCTCCGTCTCGGAATTGATTAGTTTGAAGTTGAATCCACAACTTCTATTGTCAAATTAACGACCACACACAGTATCAAACTTCTTTGACACTCCATGCTTGAATCTTCGAATTTCACCGAAGAAGAACACTCTTGAATATGAACAATCAACCTCCTTGATGTGTGTTTATCAAAACATGAGTTTAATACACAATCAAAACATTAAGGAAAACAAGCAAACAACCCCAAAAGAAAAACTTAAACACCTTAAAGAAGATCTCAAAAACGTAACCCTAGAATTGGACTTAAACAAGTACTTATAGAAAACAGGGGCAGCAAAGCTCGCTCGAGCGAAGAATCTCTCGCTCGAGCGAGGACTCTCTCGCTCGAGCGAGGAACCAAATACGTGTGTTTGCCTTAAGTAGCTTCGCTCGAGCCACGCTAATTGTGCTCAAGCTCACAATCTTCCTTCACAAGTTTTTGGTAGACAGAAACAGCTTTCGCTCAAGCGAGCAAGACAACAAACTTAGGAAAATTACAACTCGATAAAACATGTTTGTTCACGGGATTGATAAGACTAAGGGACCTAACAATCTCCCCTTTTGTCAATTCCCGGACAAACCATTCTAAGAATTTCCTAAAAAACACAGGCGCTAATGAAAACAACCAACCTATGCAACACAACCAACTCAGCTTAATGTGGGGGCCGAGTATTGGAAGTCATAGAGATTCCGGATAGTCGGACCTGGGAGAGTCGAAATTCGGGGCACTCGGCATCGGCTCGCAAGCTTGAATCCAACTTTACTCGGCCAAATAGCCGATTAAGCAAGGGATCGAGTAAAGAGCGGTCTACTACAAAATGTGCCGAATATGGAGTTGGAAATGGACCTAATCCCGAGGCCCATGGAAGAAAAGATATAAATAGAAGAACGTCAGCCAAAAAGAGGTATGTGAGAATTGTTGTGCTTAACTTAGAATACAAGCATTCTTGAGTGTGGAGACTGACTTGTCCGACGGAGTGCTAATTCCGGCACCCCCGACCGGAGTGTTTATTCCTTTTCAGGTGACTATCAGCGGATCATGAGCGTCCCCAGGATCAGAAGAGTATTTCCAAACCACTTCTCCACAAAATATTAAATTAGTTATTTGTCCACCATTTCAAACATATCCAATCCATCCATTTAATACATACTTTTTAATTCCTAAGTTAACAAAAATAAAAACAAAAATAAAAATAAAAAATACTAAGGTTTCAAGAATAATGAGTTAGAGTTAAGATTATATATAATAGGACTTTACAAACTTAGGTTATAAAGATGATAAGATTAATTAATTAAGGTTAATAATTTATTATACTTATTAATATCATTAGATTATTAGATTATATATATATACAATATATGTCGAATCGGCCGGTTTCGGTTTAGATCGGCGCACAAGGTACTTAAACCGATACCGAACCGACAATCGAAAAAATTCAAATTTAAAAACTACACAGATCGATTCTTGTTAAAAAAACAGACCAAATATAGTCAGTTTAGTCCGGTTCAATCGGTTTGGTCGGTTTTTTCAATTTTTCTTACATCCCTATCTTTGAGAGATTACTGACTTGATCGTCAGAGTGCCCCCGGGTGGACAAATCACCGCTGGATTCTTATCTTTTTGTGACACGTTGTTCGGACTCAATCTATTCTGCTAGGGCTCTCAAACTGAGTTCTCTATTTTGTTGTGTGGTCAAAAGTCAACACTTACAATTTGGCACTGTTTGTGGGAACATAAGGAGAATAAATAGCCAACGACGGACAGAAAGAAAAGATCGGGGACGACGTCCCATATGGTAGTGGTAAACATGCCGATCCTAACATCGAGGAAGAAAACCATAATGAAGGAGCACGGGATCAGGTTCCCGGGGATAAGGATGTAGGCAAAGAGGGATATATACTTTGTGAGAATTTCTCTACTGGGCCTTGTGCTCACCCCTATGGGTTTTGGTGCAGGTAAAGACGTGGTGATTCCGCCGAACTAAGGGCATGGATATATATATTTTTTTGTGTGAAGAGTAAATGACTCTCCTTTTGTTGTAATTTGTTTTGTAAAGCCAAGGGCTAACATGTATGGGTCCGAGAGACCATTTTGGTGTAACCAGGCTGTTGCCTTGGAAGATGTAAGCCTTTAAGGGCCTTTTGTTGCTTTGAGAATAGATGCTTCACATGCTATAGATTCATGTGTTTTCCTATCGTTGAATGTATATCCACATGTGGAACTTTTGTAAAGACTCTTTCTTTAATTATGTAAAGATGGAAGAAATGTTGTAATAAATGCGGGATTGCTAATTAGTGTGGGTAGTTCATGTTGAATTATTTCGGGGCGTGGCATTGAGCACCAAAATATCAAAATAGCAGAAGAAAAAAAAACAAAACAGCAGCATCAGCAAAAAAAAAAAAAGAGCAAAACAGCAGCACTTTGAGCACCAAAACAGCAAAATAGGAGAAGGAAAAAAAAAAACACTTTGAGCGCCAAAATAGTAGCACTTTCAGCAACAAAACATTTGCAATTCCAGCTACAAAACAGCAGCAAAACAACACTTAGGTTTCAATTTGGTAAAGAAAGCACATAAACGGGTTTTCTTGC